GACTTCACTATAACTTCGACGATTTCACTTCTTCACTATGACCTCAACGACTTTAACTTCAAAGACTTTTCTTTGACTGCAACATGACTTCAACTACGTCACTATGACCTTAACTACGACTTCAATAACTTATTGACTGACTTGACTGACTTCGAATAACTTCTTTGACTTCACGCCGATTTCTCGGCGACTTAGATTCACACAAAAAAAACCTCGACTTGACTTCACCATTATGTTCATTATTCAAATCATTAGTGGGTGCGGTCCGGGTCAAATTCTATCCAGTCATTAATATACCACACTAGGACAGATAGGGTGGGACTCGGTGTGGACAATTGTGTTGTGTGCTTTCACATGGTCTATGATTACTATACTTGTGTTTGTGTAGGTGTGTTGATGGGGTCATCTGGTTTAAGGCTGACCAGGAGTAACCGTGCTCTCTGCCTGCTATCAAATTCCTTGTTACATATTCCTCTGATTCCTTGTTTACTGATTTCTCTAATCTCAGCAATCTGTTACTGACTGTGTCGTTCTGCAGCCCTAAGTTAAGAACATCTGCACCAATATCGGTAATCTTTATAGAATGATCGTTAATAACCTTGTTAACTTCTTCTATCAACCTGTCCGTTTTGAATTGCAATTCGTCTACTTTTTCGTTGTCTCGAATACTGGGCTGCTTGTTTACTTGTTGCTTGTGGCTCATAAATTCTACATTAAATTGCTTCACTCCTGTAATGTTGCCTAATATCATATCGTATGGTCCGTTTTTGAAAACAACTGCTTCAACTGTTTTACACGCTGAGGGTGTGGCTATGGTGACTATAGCTGTTGGCCAAACATATGTGCTGCCTCTTAAACTGTGAACACGTTGTGTTCTGCCTGTGTATTGGTGGTGTTGTACGAATGTGTTACGTACTGCCACTGTGGAGCATAGTGTATCCCTAATTGATGTGGCGTATCTGTTATTGACTTTTGATGTAAATATGTCTGTTCTTCTACTGGCTTCTGTAAACGATGACATAAAAGCTTTTCTATTTATCTGTCTATATTTTGGTCTGTTGCGTTGTGCATCTTGTTGGCGTCTATCATAATATCGTATTCTGCAATTTATTTGTTTGTGGCCTGTTCTATTACAATAGTAGCATCTGACACTGTAATTGTGTTTTTGTTGACTGTAGTTAATCTGAATGGTGTGATTTGCCGTATTATGTTTTTGGAGTGTATGTGGTGTTTCACTTTTTGTAGTAGGTATTTCGCTTGCTTCACTGGACGTGTCATCTGAATCTGAGTCGTAGGAATAGTAAAATGTTGTTTCGGCTATCTGGTTGTTATTATTTGTATCTAAACTTTGCACCGTTTCTTGTTTGGCTTGGCGAAGTTCTCTCATTTTTTCTATTTCTTTACGAATTCTTTCTGTTTCTTCTTTAATTCCGGCAATATATGTTTCTGCTTCTCTTTGTTTCTCTGCTAACTCGGCATCTTTCTTTGCATCATATTCTTCTTCAGTCAACAAGGAATCTGGATCTCCGGTTACCTTGTAATCTACAATTCTATTGATCAAATCTTCCATAGCATCTGGATCATCTAGAGTTTTTACGTCAAATTCTTTAACAGTTAATAACCAGTCTCGATTTTCTGTTGTCGTGTATTGTCCAAGCCTAATAATCAATTCATCCAGAATATCTGGATCCTCAATAGTTCTTGAATTGCTTTTCACTTTGACTGTATTCTGAACATTTATATCTAGTAACGAGTTATCAATTCTACCTGACTCTTCTAGGCCTGACTTAAGCTCAGTTTTAGTGCCCACTTCGTACAATGGAGGCATTTTTAAGGGTAGTGTGGTTGAAGAAATAGATAAGAAAGAGGCAGAAAAACCGCTGGTACCAAATATCCAGCACGAGTCTAAACCCAAACGTTTAAAAATTTTTTGGAAGGTACTTATCTTTTTGGACATGTAGGCTGTTTCCTTGTGTTGTTAATCCAAACTCGTTCCGGTTGAAGAAACCCGCTGTTGTGTTGAGTTGAAGAAAGCTGTACACCAGATGTACTCCGTCATGAGTAACCCGATATACCCAGTCTTTCCTGTACTCTACCCGCGCTCCACCAGTTGTGAGGGTGGGGGGTTTTACGAAGGCGGAACGAATGAATCCAATAACACACAGTTCAAGTTCAACTATAATTGTTCTTTATTAAAAATGATATATATGTTCAAGTTTCTACCTAACTGATCTACACTGTACTATTTACTTCTACTACTGACTGTTCATACCGCATGCTACCTACTACTACGCACTCCCATGACCAATCCTAACACTAACTAACTGTTCCGTGGCTCTGCAAATTACAACCGTCTCTAACCACTACCTAACACCTTCTCTCCTCTTCGCTAGCTACCTATCAACTGCTGGCCTATCTCTCTACTGACCCACGCCTCAGTGGTCAGCTGACCGTCCCACGTGACCGGTCAGTCCTGTGCGCCCATTGGCCTCTCTAACCAACCAACTAGGCCTATAGTCTGTTTCTGCTAACCTATATCTGCTAAACATGTCTGACGTAATCTTGCGTCATCACAGTAGGCCAGAGAGGACTTGGAAATGATCAACTCTCAGTGAAGCAGAATCAGCTGGAATGTCGTGGACCCAACTTGGAGGAATGAACCGAAAACCAAGTACGAAGGAGAGTTGTGGTTGTGTCAATATGCGCTACAGTAGTCCTCGGGATGATGATGATTTTACTTAAAGATATATTAAAACTATGGACGAAGCTATTTCACATAACGAGAGGCGAACCCAGAGGCGTCGCGAGGCGGGGGCGGGAGGTGCGAACCGCACCGGGTGACACCATTTAGGGCGGTGACACCAAACAAAAAATTGCAAAATATATAGATGAAAATGCTTTTTTTTTCAGTTCAATTAATGATGAGAGTTTACGTATTTTACGTAAAAATGGACGATCCCGACAAGCTGGGGGTTGGGGGAGGGGGGGGGGGGGGGTGATACCAGCTGTATAAATAACCGATTATTGATAAACATTCTTACTATTAACTTTGCACTCTTTAAAGCTATCTTTAAAGCTGACACCAACTGCAAAGTGATAAGAGATTAGTCAATCCTAATATATAAATCCCCACGTTCGCACATCTCTCTCTCTCTCTCTTTCTCTGTCCGCAAAAAATTTTCGCCGGACATCACGTCAGAATCGGCAGCGATATATGGAGAACTTTTTACGGACTTTTGTTGAAAATAATATGTTAGATGTTTTAAATGTATAACCACAATTTTACTTAAAGAAGAAAAATAAAAATTAAATGCGTATTCGAATGTAGAGAAACAGTATTATTTATGCAACCGGAAAAGCATTAATACATGTGAAAAAGAACGCATAAAACTGTGACGTCGCTATTGCTTATACATTAACTAATGACGTCATCTGCTGTGTTTTGAATGAAAAGAAATGAACTATTTCATTCAAATTTGATTTAGATCTACGTACACTATGAAATGTATACAATACAATTTTTCCGGCCTAAACTCATAAAATTTATTTTATTTATTTGGATTCAAGATCTAGAGATTCTAGATCTAGACTAAATCTAAATCTAAATCTACGCAATAACTAGATCTAGACGTAGACGCTAAGATCTAGATTTAGACTCTAACTTCTCTAAAATCAATTCCAAAAATAAATTTCTATATTAGGACTAAACTATTTCAAGACTTATTTATTTTATACAAAATCTTTGTTTGGAACTGGCTAATTTGGGATAAAAAATTAATTTGAAAGAATAGGCATATTCGCGTAAGTTAAGATTTTAAAATACGTGTTTCATTCTCCGTATTTTATAATTTGCCTAAATAGCGGAGATGTTAGTGTACATTAAACCACGCAGGTGGTGCGGGTTCGAGACACAGCAAGTCAACTTGGTTAATGTATTATTTTTTATTATGCTCGGGCTAAACTTAAAAAAAAAATTCTTTTAGAAATCTAGATCTAGATCTAGATTGTCGGGTGTCCGATAGGGCACTTCCCGGCGCCGCAGGCGCTTCAAATTTGGCATGATCTTGCCTTGATGCGACAGAACACGGGGGCCGGTTGGCCGAAAAGTCTACGATGTGGGGGTCAAAACTGACCTCGACTGACCGGTACCTTATATGAGCTATAAATCGAAAAAAAATGTCCACGGAGGAACCTCTTCATAACTCTTGAGGTCGTAGACCGACCTTCGGGCGAATTAATTAAGCATTCAAATTCTCAATGTTTTCGAAAGCCTAAGCGAAGCTGGGCAGCATGCCTAGTCAATAACTAAGGTGGGTTGACACCACATCTAATAATTTACGGTGAAAACGTTGCTTTTTTCACTTGAATTGTTGGTGGATTAAAATAATGTGCTCTGGCTAAATCAGAGCGGGGTTTCACCTAATGCAACTATATATATATATATATATCAGGGGCGTAGCGAGGGGTGGGGGGGGGTGCGGACCGCACCGGGTGACACCATTTAGGGGGGTGACACCAAGGCAAAAAAGAGCAAAATATATAGAGAAAAACTTGAGGGGGGGGGGGGGGTGCAAATCGAAAGTTTGAGGGGGGGGGGGGGGGGGTTAAAATCGAAAACTTGAGTGGGGGGGGGGGGGGTGCAAATTGAAAGTTTGAAAGTTTGTCCCCGGGAAGGGTCGCTACGCCTCTGGAGGGGGACGACACCATTAAGTGCCGCACCGGGTGACACCCGACCTCGCTACGCCACTAATATATATATATATATTTATTTATTTATTTTTTTAATTTATTTATATATATATATATATATAGCCTATACTTTTTTCTTTTAGTGGGGGGTACCACCATGAGGTGCCTCACTGGGTGTCACACGACCGAGCGACGCCACTGGGCGAACCAATTTGACATACTGGTCGAAGGCTTGCCATTGAAACTTCACAGCAAATCAACCAAATACTCCATCGAAATTTACCAGACCAGAAACCAAATTGAGTCAACCATTTGTTTGAGGGAAGTTATTTTAATTCAAGCTGAACAAAATATTTACAAAAAATATGTAAATACAAACCCATCAAAGTAGAATCAATAAATTCATTTCAACATAAATGGAATTCGACATATGGATCATTTTAATGCTAACAGAACACATTTTAGTTATTTTTTATACAATATAAGCTAAATTTACCACTATACATACAATTTTTATAAGTTTGTATATAAATGGTATACAAAAATATAACAATATGTCATTGTGAGTATCACAGCAGACTAAAGGAAACTGATTTTCATCAACAAATCATCAGCATCAGTGGTCCCACGATACTGAGATGGTAGCGCTTTTAATGATGGTGATGGTGGTGGTGTCCAAAGTGGTGATTGTGGTGGTGGCCCCAGTGTGGGTGGTGGTGATGGTGTTCCGCCATATTGGCCAGAGCGATGCCAGCACCGATGCCAAGTCCGAGCCCTAGTCCAGGCTGTCCAATCAGAAAAGAGAATTAGATCATATGACAGGCCAAAAAATCAACAAATCAAGATAAATATATACATATATACTTGTTCCAATATCTATATATATATCTATATATCTATATATCTATATATCTATATATCTATATATCTATATATCTATATATCTATATATCTATATATCTATATATCTATATATCTATATATCTATATATCTATATATCTATATATCTATATATCTATATATCTATATATCTATATATCTATATATCTATAAATCTATAAATCTATATATCTATATATCTATATATCTATATATCTATATATCTATATATCTATATATCTATATATCTATATATCTATATATCTATATATCTATATATCTATATATCTATATATCTATATATCTATATATCTATATATCTATATATCTATATATCTATATATCTATATATCTATATATCTATATATCTATATATCTATATATCTATATATCTATATATCTATATATCTATATATCTATATATCTATATATCTATATATCTATATATCTATATATCTATATATCTATATATCTATATATCTATATATCTATATATCTATATATCTATATATCTATATATCTATATATCTATATATCTATATATCTATATATCTATATATCTATATATCTATATATCTATATATCTATATATCTATATATCTATATATCTATATATCTATATATCTATATATCTATAGCTATAGCTATAGCTATAGCTAAATCTATATCTATATCTATATCTATATCTATATCTATATCTATATCTATATCTATATCTATATCTATATCTATATCTATATCTATATCTATATCTATATCTATATCTATATCTATATCTATATCTATATCTATATCTATATCTATATCTATATCTATATCTATATCTATATCTATATCTATATCTATATCTATATCTATATCTATATCTATATCTATATCTATATCTATATCTATATCTATATCTATATCTATATCTATATCTATATCTATATCTATATCTATATATATATCTATATATCTATATATATATATATATATATATATATATATATATATATATATATATATATATATATATATAAATATATAGGAATATATAAATATGTAGGAATATATAAATATGTAGGAATATATAAATATGTAGGAATATATATATATATATATATATATATATATATATATATATATATATATATATATATATATATATATATATATATATATATATAAAATTTGTTAATTTGTTTTTACATATAAAACATCAAAAACTGTTTTCAAAAATACTTACGCGAAAGACTGGTCTGCCTGTTTCATATACAACTGTAGTAGTGGGTGGAGGGGGAGGGAGAGGTGTGGGGTTGACAACATACGTCACATTTGGTGGTTGTGGATAAGGGTATGGATATGGGTATGGTGGGGCATTTTCTGGTGGGGGGACAGATCCGGCTGGATACGGATAACCGTTGTCTGGTGGGAAAATAAATGTTAATTAATAATCAATTTGATACACATTTTTAATAAGTGGATACACATTTTTTAAAACCAAAAACGAACATAGCCCAACAATGAAGCTACGAAAAACAACATATTCCACCCACTAATATACAAAAAGAGCCTTTTCGTACAAGCAAAAAAAAAAACAACCAAAACAAAAAACAACAAAAAATAACCGAAACAAAACAAGTCACTATCAATATAAACATTACTATATTATGCTAATATCGCTTGTATTCATGGCCAACTAGATTGATGTACATTTTAACATTCCATTCAATGTAATAAACTGAAATTATTATTATGAGATCTAGATCCAGTTAAGAACAGTGTATAAATAATAAGATTAAGAACCTAATACTTACATGGATAGCCACTCATGTTAGTTGTCTTGTGTTGAAGTAAAATATCAACCTGTTATGTAGAATTATTCACTGACGACAGGTACTTATAGTATACAAGCAAGTGACTACTTCTTTTTTGTAGTAGTTGAACACTAAAATGGCCGCACTGATTTGATATCGCCAGTAACAGATGTGTTATTTTATAGTTATTGATGTGTTGATAGTCTAAGTTCAGCCATTGGCCAGCGCAATGTCTATTTTAAGCACTCACATGACAGTGACTATGTGATCATCGACGTCAGCTGCCAAATTTTACCCTATTTGAACTTCCGACACGGGGGTTTCCTTAAGTTCTATTTTTAGAACATGGCGTATTTATGTTGTGAAATTAAGTAGGTCATATTAGCGTTTTATTTCCAATACAAATACTTTGTGTCGTATCACAGTTGAATATACGTCCTTCAGTCTCCATAATCAACTGGAAAACGAATACTTGAAGGAAATATTAGAAATACTAGCAATACATGTATAAACTCAGAAATATACTGAGTTGTTAGTGACAGTGTCTTAAACCGTTCTGTGATAATGTGGATAAACACACTCACTTATCTGACTTACATTGTGTTGAAGGCTACGGTTTGACAACACGGAATTGTATTTAAATGAATCTCGTCATGGTTTAAGAGAGAGAGAGAGAGACCGAGGAAGTCCACACACTTGGGTATTATAACCCTGCCCCCCCCCCCCCCCCCACACACAAACATACAAATCTGTTCCTTCTAGCATTCATCACCAGTGGTAACAAAACTCAAATACTGCCATAACCGTTAGCACCCCCCCCCCCCACCACACCAAGCACACACTAATTAAACAACCAATATCAGCAGCGAAAATGAAAAAAAGAATGTTCAATACTTTCTTTTTAAATTTAGAAATTGTTTTATGTGATAAGCTACCTTTTTTAAATCTACCCCACGCCCCCACCCCCACGTTCAAAAACACGCTCCTTTAAACAATAACTTCAAAGTAAGTGCACAAAGTCATTAATTAGTGGGCCAATACATATTTATATAAAGATTAATTTACTCCGTCGAAGTCTTGGCACTATTACTAACTTACAATTCACTTTCTCTCATACCTGGGGCTGGCTTCCTGCCAACCCCTCTACCTATGTCAATAATTTCCTCAAATTTCGTTTCGTTTTTTTTTCTCTTCTGAGCCATTCAATAACGTACAGATATTATCTGTGTTATCGTGTTAAACACGACAAAGTTAATGTAAGTTCCACAACTCTGTATGTGAGAATACGATAAAATTTTAAGTTATCTCCCTTTTATTACTCCTCAGTATTGGTGTGTATAGACTAGCGTGTAACGTTACGAAGCATAGTGACGGTCAGTACTTGGTCCACATTGTGAATAAACAGCACCCAGATAGTCCAACATCTAGAAGACCTTTACTTGAGATAGTCTAACTGCACAGTTCATGATTTACAGTGTGAATGTAAATTTAGAACCAGTTCAAAAGACTCTCTAACAAACTAAACATTTTTTCTTTCTTTGGCTAGATCAATAAAAATTAAAACGTTGGACGCTATTAAAAGTTTATGAAAAAATATTTGAGTGAAAAAAAAAGCTTTTAGTATAACAGCTGAAGTAAATTTATGTAATTTTAAAAAAAAAATATTGTTTATTATTAAACCTAAAATATTAATGTTTTATTTTTCCTCAGTTTAAGCGCATTTTAGCTTGCCATTTTAAAGTTTTTATACTTGTTTTATTTTCTACTTTAAGTGTTTATATTTCACAAAAATATAGCGGCAAGACTATAATTCAGTTTAAAAACAATGGGTAGGCCTATACATAAATATTTATTCTTTCCAAACCAATCGATGTTCAGTAAATTCCACAATAAACGTTTCCATTAAGCGCGGTCAAATGTAAGTATATCTCGCGATATATAGTGTGGCTCATATTCCTTTATATAAGTTAGATACGCAAGCCTGTCTCTTCTCCCTGATTTGTAAACAAGGTTGTGTACACCAGTTGATCTGACTCACTGACTGGTCTATTGATCTATACTACATGGTTACCGAATATAGACATTTTTAAAACTACAGTTTATCGACTAAATTAATTTCCGAGGGGTCATCCGTAAATGACGTTACGCTTTTGACCCTTCTTTACCGCCCCCCCACCCCCACTCCCTTCCGTCACACATTGTCACAAAAATCAAGATCCCTCTCCCCGTAAAATTTAGTCTCCCAACAACAACCCCCCGCCCTCACCCTCAAAAATTGCATTTGAAATTATTTTTTAAATATCGATTTTTTTTTTCTAAAATATTGACTGAGCTGGATCAACATAGGGCATTTTAATCAATTTCTATTTCAATATCTAAAAACAGTTTTCCAATACGCAAAATACTGGCTAAAATTGAGTTTTTAACATTACTTTTTTTTTAAATGCAAAAGTGTGACGTCACACTATCTGAACACCCCACTCCCCCTCATCACACATCGTCACAATACGTACCCCCCCCCCCCCTTCCCTCTACGAGTTTGACGTCATTTATGGACGACCCCCCCCCCCCCCCTTAGAAGTTAGAAAAATTAAAGTTACCCAGTGGTTTATTTTCGAGTTCGGACACGCACGTAGCGTCAAAGTTTGAGAGTAATCTCCCTTTCAGGTTGGTGTTTGGATTAAAAATTGTGACAAATACCCCAAGGGCAATACTCCCCCCCCCCTCCAACACCGCATCAGTAAGGGATTATTTAATTAAAAAGTAACATTAAGTCGAACCAAACTATTGGGGATTTTGAACGCGTGCATTTACTAATGCGTTCGTGACATGTCTTCGTGCATCGTCTATCGCACTTTAAGTCCTTAGGAAGTCCTTACTGAGTCCTTAAAATGTCCTTTCAAAGGAAAGAGCCATCCAATGCTAACGTGAGCAGAATACAAAGACGTTGTCAATACAAGGAAACACAATCCGTCTGCTTCACACACTTCCGGTGTGTCCGTACATGTTGCTTTCTTGTCTACAAGTTCAAGGTCGTGTATGACGTATGTTTTATTTATAGTAACCGTAGAAAAATATGTTTCTCATAATCTCTTAGACTCGATGAATTACATGGTTGTTTTTTTTCCTTTTTAATGAGTGAGGCAAACATTGAGTGTTTAAAAAAAAATTGTGTAGTTGTTGATCACGATTGATGATCTAAGTTTGTGAATCATACCACTGTGACGATACCGGAAGACGATGTTTTTGTTTTTAAATATTCACATTTTTTTTCCTCATGCGTCATAAGAAACAACGCCGACCGTTGGACTAGATCACAGCGTACTGGTCAAGGTGATGGTTGACCCATCGCCTTTCAGAAACACCCCGCTCCGGTCATCTTGACCTCTGTCGTCTTCGTCCATGAAAGACGAATCCTCGAACCCTTTGTTGATGGCCGTCAACCCCAACGTCGACCTCGAATCGGAAGTCAGCGGCAGCGCATGCGCAGAACCGCCCGGCATCTTCTTCCGTTTACAAAACAGGTAAAACTCTTGAAAAGTCTCGGTGAAAGTTCGCCGAAAGTTCTCGCCGGCGGTGGCGAAGATGATGAAGTTCGCCGAGAAGTTGAAGTAGTACATGACCTCGAAGGCGCGCTGGAGAGTGACGTCAGCGGTGGACAGGCTCTGGCGGCTGGTCAGCGAGACGACGAGCAGCTTGAGCCGGATCACGTGACTGGGGCTGTGCAGGACGAGCAGTGTCAAGGACACGATGGTCAGGAACTTGGCGACCTTGATCTCCACCGTCTGGAAGCGTTCCACATCCGGTCTGGAGAAGTAAAATAAAAAGTTGGAATATTTGTAAACCAAACAACATTTTAAAACATAATAATAGGACAATTTACTATCTAATTTTGGGGACGGCGTTGTCGGAAGGTAGAGCGCGTGACTACTAGCTCGAAAGTCTCGAGTTTGGATCCCGGGTTCAAGTCTGTAGGACGTCGAGTCCATCCATCTTTGATGGGTGCCTGACTAAGGTTAGGGCATGTGATTAAAAAAGTATCTCCTTATATGCCGAGGTTACAGAAATAGAAAACTCAACATCATTTGCCTTATGGGTAGTTTTTACGATCAAATGAGATTTTATTTCATGTGGAATTGAAGGTTAGAGTCATGTTTAAGAATTTGATTTTTATGAACGCAGTGTTATAGTTAGGACCTGGGTTAGCGTTAACGTGCATAAGGTTGCCTTGATACACTCCACCAACATATCTAGTATTATTGCATAATAGCTTGGTTTGGGCCAAGCACATTCTGGAGATACATTACATACAACCCATAACCATAAGACAAATGTTGGATTTCAGATTCTTAATGATATATGTTATACAGGCTATTAAAACTTTGTTTCTTTTGCGGCTATATTTTACTCGCAGACGTAATGCAAGTTTGGGTCTTTTAGTTAGGATTGGGCTTGAGCTATAGTATATTCTAGTAGGTCTATCCAGCTCAAATTACTCCAAACTGGTCAACTCTATTTCATCTACAGTCGGGACGTCAGATGATCGTAATTTGAACGGTTGGGAGTTCAGATAATGTGAATTTGGACGGTCGGTTTAGGGGTCATCCATAAATGACGTCAGGCTTTTTTTGACGATTTTTACCCCCCCCCCCCCTTTCCCTCAGTTACACGTCGTCACAAAAAGCCAGACACCCCCCCCCCCTTAAATGACGTCACACCTCAACCTACAACCCCCCTCAAAATTGCAGTTGAAGTTTTTTAAAACATCGATAGTTTTCTAAAATCTTGTCTAAACTATTACAATTTATTAAAACAGTTATCTAAAACACGAAATAACGTCTAAAATTCGTTTTCTAGCATTGCTTTTTTCATAATGCAAAAGTGTGGGGTCGCAACATCTGAACCCCCCCCCCCCCTCCCCCGCATCACACATCGTCACAAAATTACGGACCCCCCCCTCCCCCCTACGAGTGTGACGTCATTTATGTATGACCCCTTAACGATGTATTAATGTACTTCATATATTTTACCTCTTGTATATTTTTCTACCCTGTGCGCTTGACATTTGTACAACTATACAACCTCTGTACAACCCTATATCCTCTATACAACCCTACGACCTCTGTACAACCCTACAACCTCTGTATAACTTCTGTACAACTATACACCCTCTGTACAACCCTTCAAACTCTGTACAA